GTATGTTTTGTTTTTTGAGACAAGATCTCACTGCGTCACTCAGGCTAGCCTCAAGCTCCCTAGCCTGCCAGTGCTGCTATTCCACCATCACCTGGCTTAGGAGATCCGTGGTGGGGGCCCTTGCTGCCTGTGCTCCAGGAAGAGCCCACCGCCCGCCCCATCGCCCCAGACTCTGATGCTATTCTCTTGAATCTTGAAGGCCAGAAGGGTTTTTCTCTGCATCCCTACGAACCACACACAGCGGTCCCATCAAATGAGTGCCAGCCTCAGCCCCACTCTGGGGGGGAAGACGGCTGGGTGACCAGGGGCAGCCCCACCCCTGCATGACGGCGGTCCCAGCCCTGCCGCACTCACCCACGCGTCTCCCACTGCAGGTGTGCCATCATGCCGACTGCCAGCAGCTGCACCGCCGGGGCCCCCTCAACCTCTGCGAGGCCTGCGACAGCAAGTTCCACAGCGCCTTCCACTGCGGCGGGCATGTTCGCTTCGACCTGCCCCCGCAAGGTGGGCACCCTGCCACTTCCACACCGGCCCTCCACACCCTGTCTGCAATGGGGACCGTATTTTAGTGACCACTGGGACCTTGGTAGGGCCTCAGAGGATTGAAGTTGTGTGCAGATAATGAGAACGCACCTATGTCCTGGTTCATTTTGTGGCACTTTTTTTTTTTGTTGTTCGGTCGTGGGGTTTGAACTCTGGGCGTGGGCGCTGTCCCTCAGCGATTCAGCTCAAGGCAAGCGCTCTGCCACTTGAGCCACAGTGCCACTTCAGGTTTTCTAATGATTTATTAGAGATAAAAGTCTCACAAACTTTCCTGCCCAGGCTGGCTTTGAACTGTGATCCTCAGATCTCAGCCTCCTGAGTAGCAAGGATTACAGGCGTGAGCCACATAGTACAGGCATCCTGCTGTTGGTTTGTTTTTTTGTGCCAATACTGGAGCTTGCACTCAGGGCCTGGGCATTGAATCTTTGCTTTCTCCATCAAGGCTGCTCTTCTACCACCTGAGCTACAGCTCCATTAAAGCTTTTTGGTAGTTGGATTTTCCAGCCTGTGCTGGCTCTGACCCTCCTCGATCCTCGGATCTCAGCCTCCTGAGGAGCTAGGATGACCGGCGTGAGCTACTGGCACCGGTTATTGTTGCATAAGTATTTTGTTTTGTTTTTAGCAAAACGATCCCAGGACTGGGCCCTTTTTCAGAGCAGGCTTCCCTTCCAGAACTCTTGTCTCTGCTGTTGCAAGCAGAGGAGACTACGGAGGAGGCCCCTTTATTCCTGCTCTGCTGGTCCTCAGGGCAGGCCTCCTCCATGACAGACTGGCTGTCTAGCAGAGTCGGTTGGGGGCCGCAGGTCAGAAGGAACTTGTAGCAGGAAATAAGAAACCCCTCCTGCTGAATAGGGCTGGCTTGGCCTTCTGCCAGCTGGGTGTGAGGCACTCAGGCCTGGAGAAATTGCCAGGCCTGTCCCCATTCCCAGCTGATCAGAGGGACAAAGGGACTCTCTCCCCCTCTGGGGGGGGGGGGGGGCAGAACTACAGGTGTGGTCACAGCCATGGGGGAAGGGAGGCCTGAAAGCTGGGAGGTCTTTGGTCTCTGCCTGCAGCAATCCCAAAGGCAGGGCTCCATTACCTTTATGCTCTAGGAGGGTAAACTGAGGCCACAGTGGATTTAAACTAGGGGTGAGGCATCACCTGGAGGGTCACCCCACCCCAGGGCCTTTTCATCCTGGAGTCTGAGGTCATGGAGAGCCATGACCGATTCCTCCACTGGCTGAGGTACAGTGTACTAGCCACTTGCTGTGTGTATATGTGGGGGTCAAAGTCTGCATCCCTCCAGAGATGCCCATGTTCAAGGGCTGAGAAGGGGAGCAGACACAACCAACCCCCTTTTCTCTGAAGGCTCCATCCTGGCCCGGAATGTGTCCACCCGCTCCTGTCCTCCACGCACCAGCCCTGTGGTGGACCTGGAGGAGGAGGAAGAATGCTGCGTGGATGGTAAAGGGTAGGTGGGGGCAGGTGGGAGGAGCAGCGCCGTGGGCATGGTCCAGCAGCCCCACCAGCCTGAAGGGTGGCTGGCTCCACTCCCAGCCCCGATTGGGTTCCATCTCATGTGGCTCCCATGTTGGCCACCAGAGGGCGCACGGTCCCACATGCACCTGGCCTGCTTGAAAACACCTGGGGTGAGCAAGGGGCGGGGGAGCCGTCCAAGGGCTTCCTGCTCTAGCCAGGTGAGGACTCATCCACACCTTCAGTGTCTGCCTTCACTGCAGGGACCAGAAGAGCACGGGCCTGAAGCTCTCCAAGAAGAAAGCGAGGAGGAGACACACAGATGTAAGGAGTCCCCAGGGCTGGCAGATGCGCCGCCCCACTGGCCTCACTGCTCTGACCCCAAGATGAGAGATGCTGTCTGGAATAGGCAACTCCCTCTCCCGCCTTCCTGCCCTGCAGCCCAGCACTGCCCACCGAGCCAGGCTGGGGCAGAGGGGCTAGCGAGACCCTTGGCCTCTGCTTCCCTGGTGGAGTCTCATCCAGAACTGCAGGCCATGGAGAAGGGGGCAGTGGCTGAGGGGCCTGTGTTCTCTTAGGACCCGAGCAAGGAGTGCTTCACCTTGAAATTTGACCTGTATGTGGACATCGAGACAGAGATCGTGCCAGCTATGAAGAGGAAGTCGCTAGGGTAGGGCTTGGGGGAGCTGAGGGCAGAAGTGGGGTGGGACAGGTGTAGCCTCCCAGGGCTCTGGGCTCTGGCTGTGTGTGTGTGTGTGTGTGTGTGTGTGTTGCACCTGTGTATTCAACACCTGTATGTCAGCCCTGGGCCCCATGTGTGTGTGAGTGTGCCTGTGAGGGTCTGTCTGCAAACTGGGTGGGCATCTGTGTGCCTCTGGAGGACCCTGTTTGCCTCCCTTTTCTGTGGGGTCAGGGGTGGCGCTGGGGCTGTGGATGGGCGGAGGCCGGCCTGACGACTCTGAATACATACACCTCCTTCCTGGGCAGGGAGGTACTGCTGCCCGTGTTTGAAAGGAAGGGCATCTCACTGGGCAAAGTGGACATCTACCTGGACCAGTCCAACACACCCCTGTCCCTCACCTTCGAGGCCTATAGGTTCGGAGGACACTACCTTCGGGTCAAAGGTGAGCGCAGGCGCCACAGATCAGCTGGCTGGAGGCCTGATGGGGCCTCCTAGAGACAGGAGCTCTTCCGGGCTCGGCTTCTCATTGGCTGTAGCTATGGCTGTAGCTCATTACCATACAGGTGTCTCTTCTGGGTGCTGGTGGCAGGTGCTGGCAGGGTGAAGCGGTGGGGGAGGCAACCAGGTGGAGGCTTAGATTCTGCAGCCCTGTGTTCCCCAGACGTGGGTGCTGAGTGCCTCTTCTTGCCTCCATATGCCACCCAGCCAAGCCAGGGGATGAGGGCAAGGTGGAACTCTGCGTGAAGGACCCCAAGTGTCTAAGTCTACCAGTCTTGCGGCCAGCCGGGGCTGGGCCCCCCATGCTGGAGCGTGTGGACCCCCAGAGCCGCAGGGAGAGTCTCGACATCTTGGTGAGGAGGAGGAGGAGGAAGTGGGGGGGCAGGCTCAAGTGGGGCTCACAGGCCCTTCCTTAGGAAAAAGTCACACTGGATTCCTCCCTGTCCTTTGTGTGCGTATATGTGTGTGTATGTGTGTGTGTATGCATGTATGCACACTTGCATTTACTGAGGCTTGAACTCAGGGCCTGGACCCTGTCCCTTAGCTTTTTTTTGGGGGTCCGGTCATGGGGCCTGAACTCTGGGCCTGGGCGGTGTCCCTCAGCTCTTCAGCTCAAGGCTAGTGCTCTACCATTTGAGCCACAGCGCCACTTCCGGCTTTTTGCTGACTCATTGGAGATGAGGGTCTTATGGACTTTCTTGCCTGGGCTGGCTTCGAACCTCTCAGCCTCCTGAGGAGCTAGGACTGCAGGCATGAGCTACCATTGCCTGGCTTCCTGTTCCTTTTGGGGGCTTTCGTTTTCCTTCCTGAAGATGAGGCTGTCTGTGAGAATAGGTACCTTGTCTCTTGAGTCTTCCAGTGCCCAGGGGTTGGAGTGCATGTTTGTAAAATGAACACGCCTAAGATAGAGAGCAAGAGAGAGAAGGCACATTTGTGCTGGGGAGTGAGACGGTGCCCGATGGTAGTTAGAAGTGAGCCTCGGGTCCATTTGAAGCCATACCTGCAGGAGCCTTGGGTGTGTACAGCTGTGCTTCTTGCTGCCTGCTTCATGCCTGTGGCTGGGGGGTGGGAGGGGGTGTGACATAGTCCAGAAAACTCAGCCTGGATCTGCCAGCCCCTAGAGCACACCTGCATCTCAGGAGAAGGGGTACCCCAGTATAGAAGCAGCTGTCCTGAGACCCTAGAAATCCTTGCGGTGTAGGGGGTGTCTGGCAGCTGATGTGAGGTTGGCATTGATCAGTGTTCGCCGCCCAGGCTCCTGGCCGACGACGCAAGAACATGTCGGAGTTCCTGGGGGAGGCAAGCATCCCGGGGCAGGAGCCCTCGGCTCCCTCCAGCTGCTCTCTGCCCAGCGGCGGCGGTGGGGCCAGCGACAGTTGGAAGAACCGGGCAGCCAGTCGCTTCAGCGGTTTCTTCAGCTCCAGCCCCAGCACCAGTGCTTTTGGGCGGGTATGAGACCCCGAGCATGGGCTTGGGGCAAGGTGGCTGGTTGGCCTTGACCCTGACCATGACCCAGACTCTGACTGGCTCTTCCAGGAGGCAGACAAGATGGAACAGCTGGAGGGTAAGCTGCATGCCTACAGCCTCTTCGGGCTTCCCCGGCTTCCTGGGAGACTGCGCTTTGACCATGACTCCTGGGAGGAGGAAGAAGAGGAGGAGGAGGAAGAGGAGGAGAATGCCTGCCTGAGGCTGGAGGACAGTTGGCGGGAGCTCATTGATGGTCATGAGGTGGGCACAGCGGTATTCTTTCCTCCTCTGTGTGTGAATGAGAAGGCCCCTGGGAGGCCCCAGGCCACTCCATGGTACCCCCGAGACTGGGGGTACTGAGGCAAGGTGACATTGGTATACCTCCTGGCTGTTTCAGTGGCAGTGGGGCATCCACATCTTGGGTGTCTTGTTTTGTTTTATTTTTTGTTGGTAGTGGGGATTGAACTCAGGGCCTGAGCCCTGTCCCTGAGCTCTTTTGTTCAAGACTAGTGCTGTACCACTTTGAGCCACAGCTCCACTTGCGACCTTGGGTGTCGTGATGGTGGCAATCGAGTGATGGTGGGGTGGCATGCTCATTCCGCACTTCTGTGGCATCGTTGGGAAATGAGGACATTGTGTGCCAGGAGTTGCCCTTCCCCTGGCTTTCTTCCCCTTCCCTCGCCCTTGGGCTCGTTTGACATGCCTGCCTTCCGTGTAGAAGCTGACCCGGAAGCAGTGCCACCAGCAGGAGGCAGTGTGGGAGCTCCTCCACACGGAGGCCTCCTACATCAGGAAACTGCGTGTGATCACCAACGTGAGTGTGGCGTCCCCAGTACTCCCGGTATGGGGTCTCCGTCTGGGCTCTTAGAAGAGGAGCAGGTACCTAACCCGGGTCAGAAAAGGGCCGTCCTTGGGAGGTGATTTCCAAGTGACCTGCGTGGGGGCCCAGGCCAGTGGGCCGGTGTTTCCCAGGCCCTGCGGTGGTGTCACGGAGGGGTTCCACTCGGGGAGGGAGGCCTGGGTGGCTCTTCTGAGTGGAGATCCATCCCCTGAGGCCGAGCCAGGCAGAGGTAGGCAGAGGGCTCCAGGAGCAGTGGCAAGGCCAGCTTCGCCAGCTTCCCTCCCGACTCAGGTGGGGTGACCCGAGCTTAAGTGAGGGTTCCACTGCCTTTATCCCCGGCAGCAGCTTTCAGGGCCTCCCAGGAAGGGGCGGGAAGGGGGCGGCTGAGGCTGGGTGCCGACAGCGGCCCTTCAGCTACCGCGTCCCCTGTCCCCGCAGCTGTTCCTGTGCTGCCTCCTCAACCTGCAGGAGTCGGGGCTGCTGTGTGAGGTGCGGCGGGCCTGGGGCGGCGGCGGGGGAGG